TTTTCTTTTTTCTCTTTTGCATTTTTGAGGTGGTGGGATTTTTTTGAAAGTTATTTTATACTTCCCTAAGAATATAGCCTTTGGGACCTCAGCTAGTTTTGGAGTATATCACTGGGTGAATATACCATGGTGTGAATCCTGGGATTTGTCTGCTATACACCTGCAGCCCTACCTCCAGGCTTGAAAACAGAACATAAGTCTTCACAATGAAAGCTGATTTCTGTTCATTTATTTCTCTGGGTTCCTAATTTTATAATATTTTAAAAGATTTTTATCCAAAATGTCTTTTTTTTTCTTTTTTTTTTTTTTTAGTGAAAGATCCACAGGATGGAAATGGAGTACAGTTCCATGGTTTCTGCATTGTCACAGCAGATAGCACTTACACAGTTCTACCTTGCTTACCTCAGTTTTAGACTTAGGTTTATAGTTTAATAAGCCAATATTATATTAAATACAGTAGCTCCCTCTCATCCACAGTGTTGCTTTCTGTAGTTTCTGTTGTCCATGGTCAACCTCAGTCCAAAAAGTGTTACATGGAAAATTCCAGCAATAATCAATTCCTAAGTTTTAAATTATGCTTCATTCTAAGTGGCATGATGAAATCTCAAGCTGTCCTTCTCCATCCTTCCAGGGAAGTGAGTCATCCCTTTGTCCACTGTATCCATGTTGTACATGCCACCTGCATGTCAGTCACTTAGTAGCCACCTTGGTTATCAGTGAGACAGCATCACAAGTGCTTGTGTTCAAGTAATCCTTATTCTATTTAATAGTGGCCCCAAAGTTTAAGAGTAGTAATGCTGGCGTATTGTTATAATTGTTCTATTTTATTATTAGTTGTCATAAATCTATTAATGTGCCTAATTTATAAATTAAACTTTATCATAGGCATGTATGTATAGAAAAAAATAGTATATATAGGGTTTGGTACTATCCATGGCTTCTGGCATCCACAGGTGTCTTGGAACATGTCTTATGTGGATAAACACCACATGTTCTGACTCATAAGCGGGTGTTGAACAATGAGAACATATAGACACAGGGCGGGGAACATCACACACTGGGGCCTATTGGAGGGTGGGGACTAGAGGAGGGATAGCAGCGGGTGTGGGGATTGGGGAGGGATAACATTAGGAGAAATACCTAATATAGTGACAGGGGGATGGATGCAGCAAACCACCATGGCATGTGTATACCTATGTAAGAATCCTGCATGACCTGCACGTGTACCCTAGAATTTAAAGTATAATAAAAAATATTATGAAAAAAGAGGACTACTGTATAAATATACATACATACACACCCAACCTTTTGTCCTAGTCACCTGGCTGACAGAAATTTGTTCTCTGATAATTTCTTCAAACGAGGTCTTAAAAACAACATTCTCGCCTGCAATCCCAGCACTTTGGGAGGCCAAGGTGGGCGGATCACGAGGTCAAGAGATCAAGACCATCCTGGCCAAAATGGTGAAACCCTGTCTCTACTAAAAATACAAAAAAACTAGCTGGGCGTAGTGGCGCACGCCTGTAGTCTCAGCTACTCAGGAGGCTGAGGCAGGAGAATTGCTTGAACCCGGGAGGCAGAGGTTGCAGTGAGCCGAGGTCACACTACTGCACTCCAGCATGGTGCCTGGTGACGGAGTGAGACTCTGTCTAAAAAAAAAAAAAAAAAAATTCTCTGATTTTTATTGCATATTTAAAACTTCGTGGCCTTTTTATTTAAATGCCACTTTTGTGGCATATAAAATCTGAAGATTACACTTACTTATGTAAGGAATTTGTATTGTCTTCACCTGTGCCTCTATTTAATGGTGATTATATTTTGGAACAATGCATGATAGGCCAACTGGCCTGCTTCCAATGGAGGTGGAGGGTTTATAAACCTTGTTAAAGAAAATCCCTGAGAAAAGAGATTGCCAATGATATTTGTTTTTTTCTTTATATATTGATATGTTTTTAAATTTTAATGAATATATATTATTTTAGTAATTAAAAAAACAAAAGAACTTTAATTTTGTTTGAGCAATAAAGCTGTTTTTTAACCAGATGTAATAATAAAATTTATTAATATTGAAATTAGCAAAAAGCCAGAAGATACATATATGTTCTCAGACTTGGATTCTGAAGTCTCACACAAATCAGTGATAACCAAAAGTATAACTCCAATATAGAGCTAAAGATAATTTATTCAATCAAGATATTGCTTTTTTTTTTTTTTTTTTTTTTTTTTGAGACGGAGTTTCACTCTTGTTACCCAGGCTGGAGTGCAATGGCTCGATCTCGGCTCACCGCAACCTCCGCCTCCTGGGTTCAGGCAATTCTCCTGCCTCAGCCTCCTGAGTAGCTGGGATTACAGGCACGCACCACCATGCCCAGCTAATTTTTTGTAGTTTTAGTAGAGACGGGGTTTCACCATGTTGACCAGGACGGTCTCGATCTCTTGACCTCGGGATCCACCCGCCTCGGCCTCCCAAAGTGCTGGGATTACAGGCTTGAGCCACCGCGCCCGGCGATATTGCTGATTTTAAACATAGTAGCTCAGAAGCAGTTTTGAAAAGAAGGTGGAGTAGGAGAGACTAAAAAAAAACAAAAGACATTAAAAGACATTTAAAAGTAACCAAAATAAAATGTAGGCATTATGTAGGGAAAAGGAATCCTGAAACAGATTTTGTATTTGACTGCTGAGAATACTGAGCTATTTGGAAACAATATTCAATGAGATAAGATTGCATATGAGGTTAACACCTATTTCTTCTACACTAACCTGCCTTATCCCTGTTCATTATTTAAGTCAGAGGTTCTCAACCTGACAGAGTTCTTTATTCTTGGCACTATTGACATTTTGGGCCAGATAATTCATGTGGGTGTCAGGGGCTGGGGGCTGTCCTGTGTATTGTAAGATGTCTAAATAGTACAAGATGCCAATATACATCCTCAGTTGTGACCACCAAAAATGTCTCTGGGCACTTCCAAATGTTCTCCAGTGGGTGAAATTGCTCTCAGTCTTTATTCCAATCATGTCCTCCATGAATCAGGCTCAGTTATTACTTAATAGAGTTTGCCACAAGTTCCCCTTTTCTTCATTGATACTAGTTTATAATTTCAGATAATATTCCTAAGTAAGCAACTAGCTATCACACTACTATTTTTATGCCTTTTTCTTCTGTGTATTACTAGCCTCCATATTTTCAGTAAATATCCTTCTATAGTACAGCGTGCCGGTGTTTGAAGAGCATATAAAATCAGTGGTCTCTTTCTCAAGAACATCAGTCCTAGTTTGATGAAAGATAAGTGACAAAATGAATAGAAGTCTGGCTAGCTCAAATATAGAGAAATGACAATAAGATGATATAGATTTAGAAATATAACTCATCATTTTATCATATATATATATATCTTTTCTCATGCTGTGTCATAAAACATTAGAGAAGTCTACTGTTATTCACTTCCAGGTGATGAGAAGTCAACTCAAAACATAACATCAATCCGTGCCTTTGGGTTCCTAGAGGAAAGGTAACATAATATTGAAGATAGAAGGTTATCATAAGGAAAAAATCCCAATGCAAAAAATAGCTTTGTGTACCACCATTCCATTCTATGCATCCAGGGTACACTGGGTCTGGCACAAATTACTTCCTCGATTAATAAATAAAATCTCTGTAAATGAATAGTAACTCTAGGAATAGTAACACCATTTATTTTTATATATTCATTCCTAATGTTGACAAGAATCTAATTAACTTAAAATTTAGCCCATATTACAATATCAAATTTAAAAAAGAAGACTAAAGCTTAATACACCCAATGTGTTCTTGCCCTTCAATGAAAAGAACACCTAGTTTTGAAATTAAAAACTTATATTTAAGTAATAAACATAAACTATTATATCAAATGTTCTAATCTACATTCTGTTCTAATTTTACATTTTGAAGCATGGAAAGTAAATGAGCTTTTAGTGCCTGAGAGGAGGAAATCAATCCTTAATAATTCTCTAAGGGATCATGGGAACCAATACATCTAGGTCTCTTCTATGTGCACTAAAATATGGCTTCATGGGAAAGAACTCTGAATTAAGAGCTAACAAAAGCAGCACCCTACCAATTAAGTTTAACATGAGAGGCAGAATTAGCAATTATGGAAAACATACAAAAGTGGCAAAGGAGATAATATTTTTTTAAAAAAATTACACAGCTAGATGTCTACCAATCCCAGTCAACCTAGAACCTTTTCTCCCTAAGCCTACTTTCACTCTGAAGGATTTAAATAGGGGCTGGCTATAAAAATTGCTAGTTGCCTGGAGGATTCATCTGGAATGAGATGAATCTTGTGTAGCAAGCAAATTACACCGCTGCTTTGAATTCATAAAAATTGTTTTCATAATGTGATAAAATTTTGAGTTCTGTCTTCAAACTGTTGAATGGACACCACCTGAAATATTAACTGAAATACCTTGTATAAATGAATCCTCATTTTCCATTATTAACTCTGGGAACAAGAGGATATAAAGGACAAATTATCTTTTTTTCCAGACCCAGCAAGATGGTTTACCAGATACCATCCCACTGAGCCAACACTAAAACATGACAACAATATTTATTTGCTAACTTGAAGCTAGCTGCATTCATATGCTTGCCATTTACTTTATATTTATAATAAACATGTCTCCATGTCTTATTTTTATTTCTCAACACATTCTCCTCAGAGGCAGAGCCTCTGCAGAGTATTACTCAATAAACAATTGTGAAAATGTACTTTAGCAGATCATTATTATATCTCAAATTCTAATAATGATCTGTTGGGAATTTCAGGGTGGGTGTGAGTAAATTTATTTTCATCTTAGTGCCTCTATTTTGTCAATATAAAGGGGAATTAATAGAGAAAACTTATAGTAAAACTTTAAGAACACAAATCAAAGGAGGAAGTGAGTGCAGCATTATTACTGCAAATACTTTCTGCTTTATGACAATGATCCTTAGGAGGACTATAAAATGTATGATTTATCTTTCACTTCTCTTTACACAAAATATATTTGGTGACCAACTTCCTCATGGCCGTCTTTACTTCCTTGTTTCTCAACGTGTAAATAATGGGATTAAGTAAAGGGAATATCACAGTATGAAACACAGACACCACTTTATCTAGGGAAAAAGAGTCAAATGGGCGAGCATAAATGTAGATGGATGGCCCAAACATTAGCACCACAATGGTAATGTGGGAATAGCAGGTGGACATGGCCCTGTTGGTATTCTCACCTGAGCCTGTGAGTTTCTTGAGCATGGCCAGCAAGAAGGCATAGGACATTAACAGAGCAATGAAACACACCACAGAGATCAGACCACTGCTAAAGATCATCACTAGCTCCTCTGGGAAGGTGCTGGCACAGGCAATCCGGACAACCTGTGTGATGTCACAGAAGTAACTGTCTAACTCATTGGGCCCACAGAAAGGAAGTCGAACAATGAGAGCCACCTGTATTATAGAATGAATGAAGCCTCCCATCCAAGAGAAAGCCACCAGGATATAGCAGAGACGTCGATTCATGATAGTAGCATAGTGGAGGGGTCGGCAGATAGCAGCGTAACGGTCAAAGGCCATCACTGTGAGCAAGAACATCTCTGACGCTCCAACAAAGTGTAAGAAGAAGAGTTGTGCAATGCAGCCACCAAAGGAGATTATCTTCCTCTCCACAAAGAAGTCTATGAGCATTTTAGGGGCTGTAATGGAAGAGTACCAAATATCAAGGAAGGCCAGATTAGCCAACAGGAAATACATAGGAGAAGTCAGATGAGGGTCAAGCCTGATGGTGCAAATGATAAGGATATTTCCTGGTAGGATGAACAAATAGAAGGATAGAAATATAGCAAATAGGACTAGTTGGACCTCCCGAGTCTGGGATAGGCCAGTGAGAACAAATTCTGTCACTTTGGTGTAATTTGCAGTTGCCATTTCTTCAATCAACTTTTTTCATAATATAGCTATGAAAATTAAAGAAACTATAATTAGTCCACATAGCATTTAACTAGAGTTATATCACTGCTTTCCAATTGTCTTATGTTCCCTGTCATTAACAGATTGCATAAGGATACATTTGGTTTCCCATTTTTTTTTGATAAACCAGGAGGGAGAGAATATATGATGAACTTGTAAATTAGAAACATTAAAACTATATGAAGTGTGGCATATATTTGAAACTCAAATCTCAGCTTGTTAACGTTAAAAATCTTACTTTTCATGAAATTCAGCAATGCACTAATTCTTCCCCCAAACATCTACATTAGTAAGAAATATGTGCAGCTATTTCTGAGTATAGCCAAATTTTAGAGTGGTTATCAGAGACGTAGCCTTTTTTTCTAGATCTTTTTTTGTTGAGAAATCTTGCCAACCTGAAAACTTAGGCTTGCAATCTAATAGCACATATCCAGATCTAGAAATATTTTAGTTGTAATGCATAAAAGAGACCCCAAAGCTACATGAGTAATGAACGGACATATTTTTCCATAACTAAAACCTGTACAGCTTGATCCTTGGTAGCAGGTAACCAGTCACGATATATAGCTATGCAAGGCCCTATTAAAAAATTCTTCTAGCTGTGACCAGATGCATCAATACCTGATACTACACTGACTATGAGATTTGCTCACCATTTCAGGAAAGTAAGTAGAAGGTGTAGTGATCTGAGAAATGGGTATGCTTGCTACCCAATTTGACCCTGAGCTGATCTGCTCTGCTGTTTCAAGCTGACAATGAGAATAATACTATTCTTAAAATTTTGCTTATTGCCCTGTATTGAACCTGACACCACTAAGTAGAACAAAACTTGTCAAATAAAAATGAAATGAACAGCTCACATTACCAAATATGCTTTTCATTAGGTAAGGTTAAAAACTGTCACACCAAAGTCAGTTTTGCTCTAATTAACAGCCGATACAAGAGTGTTGGTTTTTTTCTGCAGATGCGATATTTTATGACATTGCCTCTCTTATTACTTAAAAAATTAAATATGAAAAAGAGTTTTTAAAAAGTTAAAGTTCTGTAAAACCAAATAGATGTGACTGTGTCCAAACATTTATGGGCACTATATACACTACTGAGTAAAGAAACTAAATGTACCATTTTTGGAACCTACTGGCTCAATTTGTACATAATTTTAACAAACGTGGATAAATGACTTTCAGTATCTTATAGAATCGTTGTATTTTGAAGAAGGGATGGCTTGCCACAAGCAGACACAAAGGAAAAAAGGCCAGTGTTTTTCGGGAATCTGGCAGCAAGAGGAAGAAAAGTAAAACCACTCAGAAAGTGGGCAGTGTGGAACTATTTAGAAAAGGGATCAATTTGCCCATCTCCATAAATTGCCCAGTGTGGACCTCAGTGAGTTAATTAAGCATTAAATAATAATATAGGAAAATTTAAAATTTTATTTAGGAAGATTTTAATGGAAAGAAAGATAATAAGTTTATCTAGAATTACGTATTTCCTAAGATTCCAAAAAACAATGATTTTACTATACTTACCTGAAGAAGGCAGCTCATAGCGCCATAGCTAATAACACAACAGGCATAACTATATATACTTGTTGTGCTATTTGTTATGAAGGCTATAAGTTAGTTATATACTAACTCATTACATTCACTATAAGTTAGTTATATACTAACTCATTTAAGTGAACTATGAGGTTCCAACAATCAATTTTCTACCAAAAGCATCTCAAGTGTGATTATTCAGCTCATTTACATATTTTGCTATTATGCTATGCAGTTTTTGACCAGACAGAAGTGATTATTCGTTCTTAAGTAAATAACTGTCCCTTTATTATTGAAAGGAGATGAATATTTTAAGGCAGTAAATACCATTACATGACCATATGCTTTTTTTTATTATCATGGGGACATGATGAAGTGATTCTGACTGTTATCACACAAATCATGCCTTCCTCCTCTGCTCTATTCCACACTCATTCCACTAAAGCAGAAGTAGAAAATGGCACTAATCTAGAAAGAATTCAGGTGAATGAATGTTGATGTCTTATACCTCAGGTATTATGGAATAGAAAGGGTGATTTTACCAGAAAAAGTATTGAAGAGATTTTCTTTTGTTCCTCAATGTTCAAGATATGACATAAAATTAGAAACTAATTATATATACTTTGCATTAAGAACCAAAATTAGCCTCATTTATCCCTTAGGACAAAAATGCAAAGGATTCATCCCTCCTCACTCCTTGATGAATGTCTCTCTCCTCCACCCTTCACAACTGTCAGTGGAAAAGAAATATTTTACTGGGGCACCTCAATCCAATAGTCAGGCAGCCAATCAAACTCCCTAGTCCCCAAGCTAGTAATGCTCAGCCACTACTTATAACACACACACATACCCCACTATACCATGTCACTTTCTCAAGGAAGAACAAACATCTATTTTCCCTACATTAACATGACCATGACCTAAAATATCATAAAACATGCAACAATTCTTATTCTGTCCAGCACTTGTCATTTAATGCATGTCAAAAAAAAGCTATCTACATGTGATATTAAAGTCTATCCTAGATGTGTACCTTCTGTGTCACTTCCCTAAACTATTCATTTGTTTATCCCACAGACATTTAGGGAGTATCTACTATATGCTACCTGCTGAGCCACAACAATGAACAAAGAAAACTCAATATTTGCCTCATCAAACTTCCATTCTAAAAATATAGACAGATACTAAATAAGTAAACAAGCAAATAAGAATAAAATAAAATATAAATAAGTAAAATAAAATAATCACCACTAGTACTAAGAGACAAGAAGGAAATAAAAAGGGGGCGATGATAGGGTAAATGATGATGGAGGGTGGTATGTGTGTGATGGAGTATTTTTTTAAAAGGTTTGCTGAGTTGGTGACCTTTTGCTAACTTTGAAAGTTTGAAGAAAAGAATTTTAGGAATAGAGAATAGAAAATGAAAAGGACTTGTGGCATGAAAGCGTTTCTAAGAACTGTAGAAGACCCACAACTAGTAGAAGGATAAACACAGAATAAAGAGATAGTTGAAAACCAAGTAATATAGTCCACAATAATAAAATTGGATTTCCAATTTTCTTTCAATATGTTTTACAATAAAACTTGAAGAATAGCTTAACACAATTTGCAATTTAGAAATATCACTCTGGCTGCTATGTGAAGAAATTGGAGAGAGAAAACATTACAGGAAAAAAAATTATGTGGCTTAAACCAATGATACAGCAATAGCTATTTGGAGAAAGGAATAATTTGTTTAGAAAATATTGAGGAGATACAATATTTAGGAGGTAAACACGATTTATCAGTGGATCATATGCTGCTATTGTTATACTTCCAAAGGCAGCTGGAATTTGAACTCCACAATGGCAATTTTAAAAAACTGTCTTTCTGTGTTCTGAGTCTAAAATGAGGTTCATCTAGCATATTTCAGGTCCTTAATAAAATTGGGCTGAATCAACTATACATACTTGGGTATGCACTGTAACGCCCTAAGAAAGGCTGGGAATTGCGCCAAGAAAACTCAAAGCAAGGAATTATGTTCATCGGAAATTCTTGGGGGAGATAAGCCACTCATCAAAACTGACTTAGGACATTGTTTTCCAAGGTTGCCATTTAGGAGGGGATGTCTATTCCAAATCAGCGCTTACTCTAAGAGCAGTTATTGCGTAAGTTGCTTACGAAGATTGACTTCATCTCATATCTACCTACTTACTCCTCCTAAGCTTCCGCTCCTCTTTTAACAACATCTAGAAAATTCCCATTCTTAATCTGCAGAGACGTAGTTCCTAGAGGACTATGTGGAAATACCCAGTACAGAGGCATTCCCTGTAGGTGAGTGAACTGTGAAATCTCCTCAAGAGAACCAATGCTTTGGGGGAAAATAATAATCTGTGTGATACTGAGGTCATGAAATCTTCCTCTACGACAGTTTCTTCATAGCAACAGGAGGGGTTTTAACTAGAATTTTAAGAAATATTCTACCTCTAAAATCCTATGATTCTATTAAGTAAAAGTAGGTTGAGAGTAAAATTCTCAGAAAGGTAAATTAAGAATGATTTGGGTATCAATAGGGGGAAACAGTGATGTAATCACCATTGTGGATAGATACAACACTTGGAAATAATGTGAATTAATGTTACTATGTTTAGGATACTGAGCTCACTTATTCTTTGGGATGGTGAGGAAGAATTATACAGAAGCAGCTTCACCATATAAATGGTATATGGAAGCCCAGGGACCTCGAGTGTCATGAATAAACCAGTAGCAGAAAATATCAAGATGTAGTAATTACATCAATTTTCTGTATACATTGTTGCCCATAGCAAACTAGGTAAGAAGAAATCAGAGAAGGGCTGATCTCAATATTAGGCTATTTTGAAGATCATTTGCTGCTTATTTCTTTTTTAAAATATTGTAATATTAAAGTATATTATATAATACACATACATTTATACTTATCATAGAAGTATATGAAAGTATATGATATATGTATATAAGTATATGATACACTTTTATATATCATACACTTACATATCATATAAGTATATATCATATACTTATCATATACTTATATATCATACACTTACATATCATATAAGTATATGATATATACTTATATGATATGTAAGTGTATGATATATGTGTATAAGTGTATACTTATAAGTATAAATGTATGTGTATTATATAATACCCTTATACATTTATTTTATATATAAAGTATATTATATATACTTATATATTACAATTATATATTTACATATAATACATAAATATATATTATCATATTATAATATAAATCTATTTCTTGCTTCTTTCTCTTTTAATCTACTTAGATATGGGGTATTAGTGCTGTCAACTGAAGAATGATGACGTTCATAAATTAGGAAAGGAGGAGCTTTATTTCTCATAGAGTTGCAGCCTGCAGGGTGGCCAGGCTGGGAA